AAAACATCTTGATAGTACTCCTTTGTCACTGTTTGTCCTTCCGGTGCGTATTCGTGATGCACAATTCCACGGACATCAAAGAAAACAGTCAGCATCACCTTGATTTTGCTTCGCACCTGCCGCGCTTTTTTCGGCCTTGGAAAATCGGGATGCTTCCATTGCGACGACTGTCTTTTTGTTTCTGGGTCGTACCCGTACACCCATGACTCATCTCCAGTTATCACGGTGTTCAGAAACCCATCAGTGTTGGCGGTGTCCAGAAGGTCTTGTGCAACGTCAAAACGGAGGTCTTTTTGTTCTGGCGACAACTTGGGTACGAATTTCGCAGCCACTCGGTTCATGTTCAAATCTTCACGCAAAATTGCATGTGCAGAATCTTTACTCACTCCAACCTCTTCTGCAATCTCCCGCACTGTCAAACGACGATCTGCCATCACCAAATTTCGCACCCTTTCAACATTAGCTACACTCCGAGCAGTTTGGGGCCTGCCACAACGCTGCTCACTCTCCGCTGATGTGCGGCCATCTTTGAATCGGTTGAACCACTCCTTAATTTGTGTTACACCCATCTCTTCTTCTCCAAACACCTGCTGAATCTTACGAACTGTTTGGCTTTGAGAATCACCAAGCTTTTGACAGAATTTGATACAGTATCTTTGCTCAATTCGTTCAGCCATCTTGCGAGAAAACTAAATCCGACGAACACTACGAACAGCACCTTACTTGGCGACCACCAGCCAGCGACTTGCACAAGCGAACGCGGTGAAAAAATTCAAGCATGTGCATTAAGGTTCCTCCTTCCACCGTGCACTGTGGCGCCGCCTTAGAATCACTACTTTGCGCGGGAAAAATTAAGGTCGGATACTTTTTAGACAGGCCTCGTATATCAATAAATGATGCAAATTACTATGTTTTATTCCTTCTATTTATTTCAATAATAATAATAAGAATTAATATTTTTTATTTTTCAGAACTAATATTAGTAGCAGGGACTTTAAAGTCATACGTAGAGAATTCCAGCTTCTTGCTACTCATAAAAGCAGAGATGAAAGATTGAGCGATAATGAGAAACCTGCCAGCACTCTTCAGATCTGTGATGCTGATGACTCGTCAACAGTATTAGGTAATGAGTCGAAGTCAACTGAAGCAAGCGAACATATAACACAATGTGGAATCGGTGCAGAATCATTACGTCATGAAAATGCCAGTCCTGATCCACTCAGCGCATCAGATAGTGTTATGAACACCTCGTGCATGGAAACACCCAAAAGTCACATTCAAAGGTAAGAATTGCAACATGGTGCCAGTAATATTGAAAATAATATTGAATTATGGACGACAGATAGTAATGTCTTTTTATGTTTTTGTAGAAAATCATGGGTGGATAAAAAGAAAATTTCTGAAACGCCACAAAGCACATCTGATGCGTTACACAAATGTTATAACACTTTTCCAAGAAGGTATGTTTATAATTTCTAAAATGTAGTCAATTCTTTATTATGTTGCACTAAATATCTATTAAATATCTATTAAAAATTTTTTAGAACTACTAACTATTCATATTTTTTTACAGATCACAAAGGGTAAAATATTTGCATAGTTCTCGCAGTATTATGAAGTCGATTTATACGCAAATGGAGAAACAACATGTTAAAGCTTTCGTACTAAAAAATCGAAAAATTCCATTTAAAAAAGTACTAGGTGAATATCAGAGTGAGGAGGACACTTCTTCATGCATTCGTAAACAACGGTACGTTTATTGACCTTTCACGTATATTCTAGTACAAAAATGTCTAGCAATTGTCAAAATTTTTTAATTTTTCGTGAATACAGAACATAATTAACTAGTTTTTGTTTTCTTTATTATTCTTCGGTATTATTAAAAAAATATTAATGCTTATACATAAAATACACATTTAGAACAGATACATTGTCAGTGCATGTTTAAGTGTTTTTTAAAAAACATTACGTTCTTTCAGATTTATGATGGAGAATTGTAATAATATTACCGATAACACCCATAAATCAAGACAAAATGAGGATCTTAATATATCAGTGAAGTTGCTGAACGTTGAATTGGAACATCATCGATCTCTCAATAAATTTCATCTACAATGCAGATACAATAATTTGAATGAAAAAATAGAGATTGAAAATGTGTAATTGTGAATTATTATTATCCTTCACTATCCTCCTTTGCGATTATCCTTTATCATCCTTCATATATACATTGTAATAACACTACATCCGATG